GGTCTTCTAGACAAGAAATGAAAACTTCCTGAGAACCTTCCATGTATCAGGGAATGTGTTAGGTGCTTTCCCACAGATCTTCTCATTCGAGCCGCACGATGCCCTTGAGGTGGGCGGGTTAATCCCTGTACTGCGATGAGAAAGTAGAGGCTAGAGGCTCCTGGGAAGGTCATCGTGCTAGTGAATGTCAGAGGAGACTTTGGATGCAGGGCTGGCAGCCTCGCCACCCAGTGACACTGGCTGCTCTCCCAACCTCCCAGACCTGCTCCCTGGGGCTCCCAGACATTCAGCTGGTGTGAGTGAGCATCGTGTATGCATGAGGACTGTCAGGATAGGCACAGCCCTGGGGCCCTCCTCAGGTTTGGGAGCTGTTGTTGGCCTGCCCTTTGAGAGAACAGCAGGCAGGCAGGCTGGCGAGCCTGTGACTGCAGAGTAGGTCACACTGACAGCAGAGTAGGATTTCTTGGGCGGGCCTCATCAGGGCCCCAACCCTACCCAGGTAGGCCCAGGACACACTATACCCGCCTCTGTGAACCAGGCCACTTTCTACAGTGTAAACATTCTGGGGCTTAGGGTGCGATTCAGCCATTAATTAGCTAATATTACTTTACTTACAAAACAACAAATGCTCATTGTAGAAATGAAAACAAGATAGAAATGTATAAAGTTAAAAGTGTAAGTCCCAGCGAGGTGTCAGTGTAGGTTCATCGACTTAACAAATGTACCACTCTGGTGGGGGCTGTACCCTATGCGTGGGGGAATCAATTTTGCTGTGAACTTAAAACTTCTCTAAAAAATAAAGTCTATTAAAAAAAAGTGCAGGGGCCGGCCCTGTGGCTGAGTGGGTAAGTTTGAATGCTCCACTTCAGTGGCCCAGGGTTTCACTGGTTTGGATCCTGGGCGCAGACACGGCACCACTCATCAAGCCATGCTGAGGTGGCATCCCATGTAGCATAACCAGAAGGACCTACAACTAGAATACACAACTACGTACCAGGGGGCTTTGAGGAGAAGGAGAAAAATAAAGAAGACGATTGGCAACAGATGTTAGCTCAGGTGCCAATCTTTAAAAAAAAGTCTAAAGTCTTCCCTCACTTCTCTCCAGCCTCCTGCCTCTGAGAGAACAATGGTTAACAGTTGTTTCCACACATGCACACATATAATTGTATACACATACATCTTTGAATGAAGAAAAAGATTTAAAAGCAAAATTGGGGTGATAGCATGCATATCTTTTTGCTATTTACATTTTTTCACTTAACAATAATAATAGCAAATATTTATTGAATACTTAATGCATGCTTGCACTGTGCTAAGAACCTCTGGAATCCTCACAACTTTTCGAAGTAGTTACTACCATTCTCCTCATTTTACAAATGAAAAATTCTGAGGCTTAGAGAGGATAAGAAACAGTCCCAAGGTTACATAGCGAGTGAGTGGCAGAATCGAATCCAGACAAGCTGACCCAAGCACTTTTAATCACTGCACCATGACACATGCTCTCCCAATGTCAGTGACACCTTTCCATGTCACTTCCTATAGATGTGCCTCATTCTTTCTAATGGCTGCAAGATATTTCATAAGATCAATGTACCAACATTTATGTAATATGTGTCCAATTTATGGACACTAAGTTATTCCTAAAACTTTTTTTTTTTTTTGGTGAGGAAGACTGGTCCTGAGCTAACATCTGTTGCCAATCTTCCTCTTTTTGCTCCAGGAAGATTGTCCCTGAGCTAACATCTGTGGCAATCTTCCTCTATTCATTTATTTTTTTTTTTGAGGAAGATTAGCCCTGAGCTAACATCTGTGCCCATCTTCCTCTACTTTATATGTGGGATGCCTGCCACAGCATGGCTTGACAAGTGGTGCATAGGTCTGCACCTGGGATCTGAACTGGTGACCCCCGGGCCACCGAAGCAGAATGTGTGAACTTAACGGTTGCACCATTGGGCCGGCCCCTTCAATCTTACTCTATTTTGTATGTGGGACGCCACCACAGCATGGCTTGATGAGTGATGTGTAGGTCTGTGCCTGGGATCTGAACCTGTGAACCCTGGGCCATCAAAGCAGAGCACGTGAACTTTAACCACTACGCCACTGGGCTGGCCCCTCCAAATTTTTACTGTTACAAAATCAGCAATGAGCAGCTTTGCACACATATAAGCTCCTGTAATTCTGCACTCTGCCATTTGTCTCTACTTCAGCCCTTCCTTCTCACTCATCAAAAATACCAGCTATGAAATCAGCATTATCAATTCACTAACGATCACATACAAACTTTCTCCCTTTAGTCCATCTCCCCAGTCTCTGTCCTTCCCCCTGTCCCCAGCATCAAGTTTAAGAGGGTCCCTGGAGTGACTCCCATGCGCTCCATCCCTTCATTCAATTTCCCCAAGGCTTCACGAGCTCCTGCTATGAGTCAGACATGTGTGAGGCATCCCCAGAGCACCGATCTAGTAGGGGAGAGAGGAGTGTAAGCAGTGAAAGAACACAATGTTCCCTGTGACTATTCTACGGCAGGGGCCAAGGTAAAGGGCACACGGTGTGCAAAGGCAGTGAGTGGTCAGCTCCATTGCGGAAGGGTGGGACACGGCCAAGAGGAACAGCATTGAGAAGGTCTTCGGATTCTTGAAGAGTGTTTTTGCATTTGCCAAGTGAACAAAGGAGGGCAGGACCTTCTAGATGTTGCACAAAGACGTGGAGGCTTGCCTATGGACGCTCTGCCACCCACTCTGCTTAGTCTCTCCCCCAGCCCATGGCCATCTGTGACTTCTTCCTAGTTTGGCCTGAATCAGCTCCATTCTCATTTTGGGATATTCCTCAATTCTTCCCCCTCCTATAGGAAACTGCCCTTGATGAAGTAAGCTGGGGAACAATCTAGTCTTCAGTTCTGAGACTCCTACTGAATTGTGTTTTCCCTGTGGCCAACCCCATGTTAAAAAGTGGGCACATCTGGGCTCTGGACCTCTGAATCTTCTCCAAGGAAGAAGCTTTGCCTGGGCTAGACCTGGAAATGCGATCCCATCCCAGGCTGCTTGCTCTGCTTAGGTTGCTGAGACATCTCATCTTATAATGAAAGAAAAGATAAGTGGAGAAATCCCTCTAAATGCCTCCTGGGTGCTAGGTGCCATGCTAAGTGCTTCATCTCATTTAATTCTCATGACCAGCTGGCCCGGTAGGTGTTAATGTCTAGGGCTGACTCTCAGATTGGCGGAGAGATTTGGCTGAGGCCACATAGCGATTCAGTGCTCGTGATCTGAAACTAGGTCTTCCAAGCCCCTGTTCTTTGCACTGCGTCTGGGAAGAGGGCCTCCAGCTCCACAAGCTGAACTGGACTCCACTGGGCTCTGGTCCTTCTTACACCAAAGCCATCCCTGGGATGCAGTGCTGCATCCGTGTACCAAGCAGCAAGTGCAGCTGGTGCCTTCTCCCCATGCGGCAGAGGAGCCAACCATTAAGTGATGACTTGTGTATCCACCTGCCTGAATAGCGGCTCTGGCCACATGAATATAAACACTGATGCAAACACTGGGAATCGCATTAGGCAGAGCCGTGCACTGAGCCACCAGAGGGCAGTGCCCTGACGGTTGTCCCTGCAGCCACAACTCAGATTCTGGCTGGAACCATCCAGCCTTTTGCACCTGCAGGAACATGTTTCTCAGGAGGTCCCTGGAGCCTCCTGAGCAGGGCAGCCTATGGAATCTTACCCTTCTCTGAAGGGACCTCTGCCATGATCCCCCCATTTACCGGTGGAAGAGAGCTTGAAATTTAGATTCAGACACACTTGGGTCATTTATGCTCTCAGAGCCTCAGTTTTCCATCTGACAAATGGGAGTAGAAAGCACTCCGTAAACAGTTTTCACTGACCTGTCCCTTCTGTGTCTTCCATGGGGACTTCAGTGATCCCACTATGACTATGAGAACCCAAAGCTCAAGCTCTTTCTAGTACACCCCATGCTGCCACCCAGGGTGTGCACGGACCACGGTGTCATTTTGAGGGCATCAGTTTGGCACCGCCTCAGGAAGGACAGGGTCAGACACAGGATCATCTTTTTCTGGACTCGCTCTGAGAAGCAGAGGTAATTCCAATACATGTGGGTTTCCACTCCTGTTGCCAGAATCTCCATCACATAAATACTGTGACCCCCAAACTTGTCCCACTCTACTCCTTCCTCCTTAGGCACTGTTTCCCCCTCACCAGTCACTTCTGCATCATTTGCTGGGAAGCAGGAGAGGAGCCAGAATTACGCTGAGGTGGGGGAGGCATGATCGCCATGGGTCCTCCTTAAAAAAATCACAGAAAATGAAGTTGTGCGGTGTGAGCCCTGCTTGGCAGCACAGAGAGGAATACCTGTGGCTCTAGTGTCAGACGGGAGCTCTAATCTTGGCTCTGCACTTGCTCTGAGACAGGGTTACTTCTCCCTGAGGTTTAGTTTTCTCCACTGTAAAATGGGACAGTAATCCACAGCTCTTCAGACAAGGGTGAGACCTGATACAAAGAAGGTGCTCAGCAATTCAGGCCCCGTGCCCTTCTCGCAGTCCCAGCAGGGCTTGTACCTGCCACTCTGCTTCCCTCTCCTCCCTCCAAGCGCTAGGAGGCACCAGCAATTCCCTTACCAGACGGCTGCCGAGGCTCTGTTACAGCAGGTTCTTCGGGCCTTCAGGCCGGGCTTTCAGGCTGGGCATGGGCTTCTGGGTCCTGGAGATTCTCCCCATCCTCAGCCCTGAGCCCTCGGATGCCAGCACGGCCACTCTCTCATGGAGCGGCTCTCTCTGTGGGGAAGACGGAGCTGCAGGACCGGCTAAGCAGACTGGTGGGCGGAGCCTCTCGCAGCTCCACCTCTGGGTGGAGCTCCGGCCTGGTCCGGTGTGTCTGTGGGAATCGCCCGGCTCCCTACCATGGCTCTCGGCTGCCAGGGGTTTGAGTCTGAGTTGCAGTCTCAGTCATGCTCCTGAACCCAGCCAGAAAACACTCTTGAGATCAAAGACCTATTAAAGTCAAACAAAGCTGGTGACCCACCCATCACACCTGGAAGATGACTCTCAGGTTCTGAATTTGGAGGACACCCCTCTATCCTGGTATAATGGAAGGGGAGTTAGCAGTATGTATGACCTTGGGCAAGCCACTTCACTCACCTCCCTAGTCCTCAGCTTCCCATCCATAAGATAGAACTTGACCATTTCTAAAATCCTGATTCCTGGTTGTGCATTTTAACAGCATCTTTGGGATCAACAGAAAGCCAAACTATGTAAAAGGAGACTTGCAGATCCCGGGATATCGTGCTTCCTTCTGGGCTGGGAAGTTTCAAAAAGAGACCTAGGAGCCAGGAGAATGGAGGATAGAGGCTGAGCAGGCCAACCTAGGAAGAGGTGGGAGAGACTCTGGGAGAAATTTGGCTGGATTTCTAGATTCGCCTCCTTCCCCATCCCTAATCCCCACTCTCACATGCAGCGTTCTTTAACTCCCTGCAAAGGCCCTTTAGGAGCATCCTTCCAGCATGGCCAGTCCAACCTCCTAACAGAAGTGCTTCAACAGTGTTTGCTGAGCCCTGAGTCCTCCCTGTCACCAAAGCCAGGGGACCGAAACTCACTCCTGGCTCCCGCTCCATGGGAGGGCACGAGGAATTCCCTGGAGGCTTGTCTTTGCACCCTGGGAGAGCTGGGAGCCAGGGAGGGAGTCCGATGGAGGGGCCCAGGAGAGAGCTGTGTCTGTGACAATACGCTCCAAGGCACCTTCTACCCTCCTGACATCATGGCCAAGCTCCCACCCAGCCTCCCACCAGTCTTGGAGGTGGGAACGGGGGAGACAGGGAGAGAAGTAGGAGAGGGAGTGAATGGAGCTGCAGAAAGTAAAAGGGGGTAGGAAGGAGGTGTGGGCCTCAGTGTACAATGCCCCACAGATGCCTTTGTCTCCCAACTGGTTTCCTTAGTGTGCCCCTGGAGCCTGGCCAGCCTTGGAAACATTTCTGTGCTGGTTGGTAGGGAGTAGGCGCCTGAAGAGAAAGCTCTATGATTTCTCCTGAGAGGCCTCACTTTCACCTGGGAACCTTGAGGGCGGCTGGAACAGGAATGGCTGAGGAGCCGGTTTCAGGTTCTCAACGAATGGAAAGTGGTTTGGGGCTTTTCTCAGAATTTCCAAGATGTTCTCACATAAAACAAAGGCTCCAAAGTAACAAAGACAATTCAGAGCTGGGGAGTGGGGGTGGGAGAGGGCCGTGTCCTCTGACTCAGGTACAGTGAGACAAAGAACACAGGCCGGCTAGCTGGGTGACTTTGGGCAAGTTACTCAGCCTCTCTGGATCTCAGGTTTCTTTATCTGACAAATGGGGATGATCATTCCTCACAGCATTGCTGCAAGAATTCAGCAATGACAGGTGCGATAGCATATCTGAAACCATCTGGCATATTGCTCCTGGCACATTGTAGGTGCTCAATAAAATGTTCTTTTTATCCTGATGTTGTTACTATTTTCTCCTGTTTGTACTTATCTGTCCAATCCTCCATCCATGTAAAGTACCTATCTATCTATCTATCATCTGTATTTGTCATTAATCTATCATCTCTATCTCTATCATTAATCCATCGTCTATTATCTATCATCTATCTACCTACCTACCCATCTATCCTGTATTTAATCTTCCCAGTCAGATGGTTAGTGCTTTCGCTGCATGTGTTTATATTGTATTCTGTGTAAGCATTCAGTAGATATGTTAATAGACTGATTTTACTGTGGGTCAGGGCAAGCCCGACCTCAAGTTAATAAAGTAGGTAGGATAAGGCATCTTATCTACAACCTTCAAACAGTGCTTCAATCCAGTGCCAACTTTTTCTTTGATTTCTTTCAGATCAATTAAAGAAATGCCCACAGTGAGGAGTTTCAGGGAAGGCGGGCTCTTCTCCAGTGGTCCTGGACAGCCTTGCTCCTTGGCTCCAGAACCCCCAGGGCTTCTGCACCATCCCGACCACCTAATTTCCACGCGTGACCTCTAGTCTCAGGATGCCTGAGGTCAGTGGTATTTCAGGATGCTCAGCTATGCGGACACACTGCCCACGCGTTACTCATCTTGGAGTCCACCTCCTACACCACACGGCTACACACCCTCCTAGAATGTGTCCCAGAAAAACACAAGCCAGAGTGAGTGAGTAAGCTCTGCCCGGTGCCTCGATCACCGTGCATACAGGACACTAAGAAGTCATAATGATACTATGCATTTATACAGTGATTTGAAGTTTTCAGAGCCTTTTCACGTGCCTGTGCCTTGTCTTATTTGAGCCACATAATGATCCTGTGAAGCAGGCAGGATTTGTTCCTTTGTTCTCATTTTGCAGATGAGGAAGCTGTGCCCACAGTCATACAGCTGCTTGGAAGTAGAGCGAGTGTGGACTGGAACCCAGGTCTTAGGATTCCAAGTCAGCTGCTTACCTCACATGTTCATTTACTACTGGTGAGGAGTACAGAGGAACAGAGGTCAAGTGACACAGGGGACAGAGACAGCCTTTGGAGCTTCCCTAGCCTGGGAGGCCATGGTGGGACACAGCCACCCAGCACCTGAGCTTCCCAGAAAATGCTTTCTTTCAGACTGGATACCCCGGGGACCTGCAATCCCAGCTGGAAACTCTAGGTAACCTTGACCCCCTAATTCTCCCTCCCTCCCATCAATATCTGATGCACCGCCACCCCAGACACCTTCTCATTCATTTCATCTGCCAGTGCCTGACTCAGCATCTCCTCATCTCGGAGACCTGGGCCTCCAAAAAGAGGAGATGTGCCAGGCCCTGTGCAAGGTGAGGATCTGGGGTGTGGGAAGAAAATATGAGAACTTCTATGGCTTCGAACAATAGGAAAGATGTTGCACTTTCCTAGTATTTGCTACGTGGATGGATACTGGCCGCTCACTGCTCTGTTGGTGAGACCGTCCAAGGTCACATATGGAGGTCACGTACGGACAGGCCGGGCCACATTAGCCTGAGGATGGAGCAGGGGCTTTAAACAGAGAGGGCTTCCCCCCACTCCTTTGCTTTCAGTGTAACTTGACCTTCTGCAGTGCATGTGAGCCAGGTTAAATGGATTTATGATTTGTTTTCACTACATTAACCATAAAGAAATGGACACATGGCTTAAAAATGAGCCCTGCAAAAAGAAACCACTGGGAAAAGATAGCACTAATAACGGGAACAGAAACAAACAAGAAAATGGTAGTGTTGACCCTTCACCTATCTCAAGCCTAACCTATATAAACATCTTTCAAATGAAGAGTTTTAGTGGTTTTCAAAGCTTTTAGTTAAAACCATAAAAAATGTAATTGACGAGCTTGTAAGAATAATTGACTGACATCAGAGAAGATGGAAAGTTACCAGCTGCATTTAAACAAAAGCCTTTGTACAATTGGTAAGACTGAAAAATTAATATTTTAGTAAGCACAGCCAATGTAGCTCTTTTTCCGTTTGGATCTGTGCACCTAGTGAGGTCTTTTTTTTCCAATTCTGAAAGCTATTAGAACCAAGTATCAAAATAATTTGAACTTAAACCCAGACCTTCTAAATATTGAACTGCAAAATGTTAGTATGAAGATAACACAAACATAATAAAACGTATCAACCACATTGGAATCACAACAAATATCAGTATTCATAATAATTCCTTTCAGCGAAAGTTTTTTTTTGTATGGTTAAGGAAAACAAAAGCTTAAAAAGTAGTGTTATTTCATCTTTATCTCATCCATTTAAATGCCTCTTTTTGTCTGTGTCTTCCCATGATATTGTGATTTATAATAAGAAATACATATTTGATCTTCATGCTTGTTCCGGGTACAAGGTTCCTAAAACCCTTGGAATTTCCTAAGTGACAAGAGCGATCAAGGTGTTTTTTGTTATGTTAATGAGGTAACTTTGGAAAGCCCCAGGGAGGGCAGAGGGGCTGGAGGTTGAATCAGTCATCAACGGCTAACGCTTTAATCAATCATGCTTAAGTAATAAAGCCTCCATAAAACCCAAAAGGACGGGGTTCAGAGAGCTTCTGGGGTGGTGCACACACGGAGAGTGCATGAAGCTCCGCGCCCTTTCCCCACACCTTGCCCTCTGCGTCTCTTCCAAATCTGGCTGTTCCTGACTTATATCCCTTTATAATAAACTGGTAATCTAGTAAGGAAAATGTTCCTCTGAGGCCTGTGAGCGGCTCTAGCAAATTAATTGAACCCAAAGAGGTGGTTGTTGGAACCTATGATCTTTGTGATTGGCATCTGAAGTGTGTGTGTTGGGGGGCAGTCTTGTAGGACTGAGCCGTAGCTGTAACCGTGGGATCTGGTGCTGTGTCCAGGTAGATAGTGTCAGAACTGAGTTGAATTGTAGGACATCCAGCTGGCATCAGAGTTGCTTGTTGGTGTGGGGAAAAAACCCACACATCGGAATTGGGTGCAGAATTGTTACTTACACACATACTATATTAGGATATAAGACATGTATAAGTTTCTAAGCAAATAAATGTATGTATATTAGGCTATGGGATCAAAAAAGTGTGGAGACGGCGGGACAGGCTACTGAGGAAGTTCCTGGCTGTCCTTTCAGCTTCCAGTTGTATTTTGTCTACCACACGTTACCAGACTGATCTTTGTAAAGACCCAGAGGGGAACAAATGACAACTCTGATTTCTGCTCTCTGTTGAGCCCCCAACTCCTACAAAGACTGTCAGCCCTAAATGCCTTCAGGGGCATTTACCTTGCTGTTAAGGTAGGTGGGTAGGTAACGACGTAAGAAGAGGGCTGAGTGTAAGGCACAGTGGAACCATGGCAAACAGGAGAGTTCTTTGCCTAAAAACATAACAATTTTAAAATTTTAAACCCTAGACAGGCAAAAGAATGCTGTGGCCTGGATCCCACTTGTGGGCTGTGATGGGGTTCAGGGCAGGCCGCCCCAAGATGCACCACTCTGGCATGTGGACTATTTCGAGCTGCAGACAATAAAGGCTCAGACTCAGCAAGAAATTTGACCTTTCCCCCCAACTGCCTAAAAGAAATTTGAAATAAAGGCCTGTCCCCAGACGGGTCATCACCATAGATAACTTTGGGTTCCGGTAGACTGGGAGGATCCTTGCTAAGCCCACTCTTATCAAAGTTCTATTTACCAAACATTTGCTTTTCCATTTCCATGTGAGTTGCCTTCCTCCCCTTTGAAGACCCAAACCATGACCCTAAATGTCCTCCTTGTCTGTAGCTGGAGATGCTTAACGAGGCAGCCTCGGCCAGTTGGCTGAGTTGCTCAGTTTGCCTGAGCCTCTCCCATGTATACATGCTGTAAAGCTTTGTTTAATTTTCTCCTGTTATTCTGTCTCATGTGAATTTAATTCGTTGTCCAGCAGAAGGACCCAGAGCGGGTAAAGGAAATGTCTTCCTCCCCTTCAGCTGGCACTTGTAACCCCTGAACAGGTCAAGGCTGACCTTGGGAAACACCATCTACCTCTCCAGAGATGTCTCTTGCTGCTTCCTCCCCAACGCTGCCTACATTGTGGTCATGGCTGATTTGCGCTGAGCTTTGCCTTCTGCTATTCTCTCTTCCTGGCCAAGGAAACCTGATTTAAACAAGCCCAATCCTGATGCCAGCTCCTCTGTGGAGCTCCTCGACTCTCCCTTCCCGGAGCTGCCCTGACACGTTGCTCTCCTTGGGTTTTAATGTTCTCAACACGTCACTGACCTGCCTGTCTCCACCACTAAGCTGAGTGTTCCCGGAGGTCAGATCCTTTGTCTTATTAATTGGCGCTTCCCCAACACCAAGGTCAGTGCCTTGGTCACCAAGTGGGTTCTCAGAAAGTCTGCTGAACCGATGAATGAATGCAAACAGTGGCACCTGCACACTGGTAACAGTGGGGTATTATTAGCTTTAGTATTTGCTTCTAATTTCTAATAATAATATAGACAGACCTTCTCCTGTCACTCCTTTGCCCTCTCTGCAACCCCCTCAGCTTCAAGGCATAAACTTTCAGACTTTTATGCTTAAAGGACTGGAAGAAAAAGAAATGGCAAGTGGTGAAAGTTCCTTTCCTGGCCATGTCTCTGCAGCAGAGACAGCATGTGGCTAAGGCAGGGGCTCCCACAGCGTGCCTGCATCAGGACCACCAGAGGTGCTTGTTAAAAATGCACATTCCCGGGCCTCTTTCCTGACCGACTGAATCAGTCTCAAGAAGTGAGGCCTAGGAATCTGAATTTTGATAAGCTCCCCCAGGTAGTTCTTATTCATTCTAACATTTGAGGACTCTTGCTGTAAGGTAGAGCTCCCATTTCATTCATTCATTGATTCAGTGAATCAATATTACTGAATATCTACCCATCCTGCGCCAGGCACGTGCTCCGTGCTACGTGCTGGTGGGATATTGCTGACTCACTCACTGGTCCTTCCTCTTTTAAAGCTCACAGTTTAGAGGTGGAGACAGACAATAAATAAACTTATTCAACTACAACTTGTGATGAGAGCTCTGAAGGAAATAAACAGGCTGTAAAAACAGAGATTAAGAAGGAGGGCTGGCCATCTTAGATAGAGTGACCCTGGAATGTCCCTTTGAGAGGTGATCCCTGGAGGATGGGAAGGAGTTGGCCCTGTGTCAGGAGGGCTGGGGAGGCAGGGTGGGGGTCGGGGAAGAATGCTCGGGGGCTTGGGAACGCTGTGGGAGCCCCTGGTCCGGGGAAGTGAGTCTTGACCACATGAGGAGCTGAGAGCCGGCCTCGTGCCTCCTCAGGAGGCTTTTCATCACCAACTCTTGGAAACTGTAATGTCTGCAGTAACATAAACCCTAGGTTAGACTCGGACCCTTCACGTCTCCTGGGTTTCAGCCAGACTCCCACAGTCTGAGAATCCTGGAAGCCGGGGGAGGTCTGCACGCACCCGCCAGCCCTTACTCCTTTGTTCTTGTTCTCTCAATCAGCCTTTTCTTCTGAGCTGCTAAGTCACCGGCACCTTTAGAAGATTGTGCCAGAAAGCTGAGAGTATTAAAGATGTTAGACATTCCTCCCAAGCCGCAAACACAATCACTGGCACTGTGGGTTCCAGGGCAGGTGAAGGAAGGTGGGCTGGACTGACCGGGAAACAGGCTGAGTCCCTCCTGAGGGCAGAGCATCCACACCCCTTCCTGTGGACTGGGAACCTGCTCCCAGGAAGGCGGCTGGGTGACGGATTTGTTGCAGAGGGTGTGCTATACCAGCAACGGAGCTTCAGAGCCAGAGGAGGGCAAGCGCCTCACCAGGCCTCCGCCCTCACTTTCCTGGAAAGAACTCATGTCCAGCATCCCCAACCTTACCATATTCCCTCCACTCAAAACAGAAACAAAAACAAAGCCTCAACGTCATTGCCAGAGGGTCGGGCTATACACATTACCTTTATTTGTCAAATGATTCCCCGGTCAGTTTCGGGCACTCCTTGAATCCAGATATTCCTCTGCATTCTCAGCAACGTTGCCTTTGTTCCAGAGCCCGGTGGGGCCTCTCATTGCTCTGAAGGGACCCAGAATACGGTGCTGTGGCACAAAAATTATTTTGAACAGAAGGCATTTGAGTTCTTGAAATCGCTTACCTGCCTAAAAGCGTTGCTTCCCAAAAGAACTAAAAAACTCAGTTGTCATAAAGCCCTTCCCACCCCCCCAGCCCCCACAACAATCAGGAAAGACTGATTCTTATCACCAGAGATGAGAAGTCTCCACCTCGCACCTAAACAGACACTGTCACCAAAACTATCATCTCTCCCATCTGTTCTCCTAGGGGTCATTTGTCTGTCCTAAAACTCACTTGTTTTCCCATAAGTGCCCCCCCTCCGGCCCCCACTTCTAAGAAGTTACTGGTTTTTGTAAGTGCCTTTCTCCCTGTCCCCTCCCCCATTAAGACGGTATATAAGCCTCCAATTTTCACTGCCCCTTCATGTCCCATTTCTTTGTGAACTCTCTACGTACTCGAGGAAAATGTGTCTTTTCTCTTGTTAATCTGTCTTTTGCCAGTTTAATTCGAAGACCCTCAAACTCTTACTTAAGAGGGTAGAATAAAAGTTTTTTCTCCTCAACAGCTTCATTTCATTTCCCAAGTTGCCCCTGCCCAGCTGGATCCCTGGCCTCTTCCTCAGGAGTCAGGAGGCACCTCTGGCTGAGCGGGCTGAGGTCTGCTTGTCGCCAGGCGATGAAACGTCTCTGGGGAGACCAGCAGAGCTCAGGGCCCCGGGTCTGGTTCTGGATTAGAAGTTTCAGTTGGAGGCTGAGGAGAATGGAGCACAGGTACTGGCGTCAAAGCTGGCTTCCAGTATCTTGGCTCTGACGATTCCTACTCTGCGATCTTGGCAATCATCTCAGCACTTTGAGCTTCAGTTTTTCATCTGTAAAATGGGGATAACAGTATCTCCTTTGTGGCGTTAGCATACATAGAGTACCTTGTACTATGCCTGGCACACAGGTGGTGCTTAATAAATATTTTTTATCTGTGATTTCAGACCCAGGGCCCTGAATGGCTGGTTGTACCCTCCCTGGAAGCATTTGGTGTTGTAAGATGCTGGCATGGCATCTGGCGCCAGAAACCTACCAGCCTGCGCCTTTAAGGCTGGCGTCCGTGGATGGATTGGCGCAGGGCCGCATTCTCAGAGTCTGCAGCTTCGTGGGCTGGGCTGCTGGGATGGCTCCAGAGCCTTGGAGTACAGACCTCACGTGCTTGGGGTTCACCGTCCCATTCTGGCTTGCCCCCCTCCAGTTTCATTCCCTCTTGTCAATACTCTTCCTGAAATTCTCATACAACCAGATGACTTCTCTGCTTAAAGATCCTTCAGTGGATTTTTTAAAAATAAACCCTTTCAGCATGGCGTTCAAGAGCCTTCCGGATCTGGCCTCAGAGATACCCACTTTCCATCACCCCTCACTCTGCAATCATCCATCCACACTGAACTGCTCACAGTTCTCCAAACGCCCCCAAGTTCCCAATCTCCCCCTCCCTCTCTCCCCCCCGACTCCACCTGTCTTTGCACATGCTGTTCCCCTGGCTGGAAAGTCTTTTGTCTTCTCCCTAGTATCCATAGGCCAACCCCAACAGGTCCCTCAGAAGCCTTCCTGTCCCCACAAAGCTTTTTCTCCTCTTCTCTGCTGACCTGTCTCATAGCATCTACCACACCATAAACCACAGAATACATAGTTTGTAT